GTCAATGATGACACCCTCTAAATGAGAATAATATTCTATAAATAATTCCAAAAAACAAAAATAAGAAAAATAGAAAATACAACTAAAAAATTAGAAGAAACTAATAAATCCATTGATATTAAAAACCAAAAATGGAAAAACAAGAGAAATTAATTGAAAATATTATTCATTTTAAATGTACTCAAATTGAAGAAGGAATGTCATACGAATGTATATCACAACATCCATACAAAGACACTGTTTTACAAAACATGGTTTTTCCATTTTGTTTTCCAGAAGGAGAGTCAATGATAAATAAAAAAGATGGATTAAATTATCATATTGACTATGAAAAACAAGAGTCATTTGCATTTATCCTAACAGATATTAGTGCTAATCGAAGATATGTTTATTGTAGACGATTTTCTAATTTTAAATTTCCTGAATGTTTTTGTATTATTGCAGAGAGGTTTGTCAGTTATTTTAACGAAGTTAGAATAAATAAAAATAAATAGACCATTTGAATCTTTATTTAAAAAAATATTAGACAAAGCTGTTGCAATACGTAAAATATCAATAAATTTATTATCTAAATTCTTTGAAGATATTGCAAAACAAAATGTACCATCAATTAATGGTGTATTAACAAACATATCATTTCATCATATTCCTTATGAAATATCTTCAGAAGAAGATTTTAGTAAACACCATTCATCAAATGTTTTAAATATTTTAAAATTATTTGGTGCTTCATTTTTAGTTGATATAATTGGTGATATTATGATGGAAAGAAAATTCGTGTTTTTATCAAATTCAATTGGTTCATTATCTGATACAATCCTTACTTTAACATCATTGATTTATCCTTTTGTTTGGCATCATGTATTAATTCCTATTTTACCTGTTCAATTAGCTTCATACCCAACTGCACCAATGCCTTATTTAATTGGAATTAAAACATCTTTATGGGAACATGTAAAGAAAGAATGTGATGGGGGAATGGAAGATACTATTGTTATCGACTTAGAAAAAGGACAACAGATTGAAGGACCTGTCTTTCCAATGGTATTTACTTCTCCAAGTTCTATTCTTCTTCGTTCACAATTATCATTAATTCAGAATGATCCAGATCCAGATGAAAATATTGAATTAAAGAATGATACTATTTATAATATGTTTCAGCTATTCTTCTTTAAAATATTTCATAATTATTTTCAATGTTTTAAAGCTAATCCAGGTGGTAAAATTAAATATTCATTTGATAGAGATGCTTTTGTATCTAAACTAAGTGAAGACGATAAACTATTTTTTGAAAGTTTTGAAGATTCTCAAATGTGTTTTATGTTTTTCAGTACAAGAGCAGAACAAAAGAGTGATGAATATCAAATCGAAGCTTTATGTCCATTTAATCGTCTTCCACCTAAAGAATCATATGGATTTGTTGATTGTGGATTTGTAATGGAAAATTTAGACTCTGGAGAATCAATTTCAATGGTATGTCGATTTTGTAATCTTCTTATCACTGGAGAAGATCCTTGTTCTCAAAGAGGTAATGAGCTTTATCATACAAAATGTTTCAGGTGTTGTTGCTGTGCAAAGATTTTAGAAGGAAATAAATTAGCTAATTGTGAACGATTGAAGTGTGTGTATTGTCATCGTTCTCAAAAACCTGAATTAACAATTAGTGAAATTCAAGCAAGAATTGATTCAAAAGAAAAGAGAAAATTAACAAAGACTGAAAGATTAGTTTCTAAAACATTTAAAAAGAGGTTTGAAAATGAAAAGTTACAACAAAATTAATTGTGGAAATTTCGTTTTAGTTTGCAGTTTCTTTTTTCTTTTCGTTTGAATAAGTAAAATTATATTATTATAGTTTTTTTATTACTATTTTATACAAAATGGAAGTCAAATTTATCAAAAAAAAAGAAGAAGAAGAACTTTAAAAAATATTTTGAGTTATATGAGTTTGACTGAATCACATCTTATTGGAAATATTGATATTCCTTTACAAGAAACTACATACCCAAAACACTTTTTAGAAATAGTTGAAAATAACCCTAATAAAGAATGTTTTGTATTTAGGTCTAGTAGAACTGGAGCAAATATTAGACATACATACTCCCAGTTACTTAATACATTAAATAGTGTAATTCAAGGATTTAAAAATGAAATTCATATGGAATTACATACAGTTGTTGCTATTTATCTTCCAAATTGTTGTGAATACGTTTATTCACAATTAGCTGCATTATGTGGAGGTTATATAATGATGCCATTAAACCCATTATATACAAAACCACAACTTGAAAGACTTTTACCAAGAGTAAATCCATCAGTAATTATCTCATTGACAGCAATGAAACAAAACATTCCAAACGGTTACAATGTTTGTTTTATTGATTCTAATTTAGAAGAAGACCCTTCAAATAAAATTTATTCTTTGAAAAAATTTCTTTCTTCTCCTTGTGAAAGAAACTACATAAAAGAGGTATCTGAAATTTTAAAACCAAATGATATTTCATTTTATGGATGTACTTCTGGATCAACAGGAGAACCTAAAATTTGTACTTATACCCATTTTGCAATGATTAATCCATTCATCACTCTTGATCATACTACAAATACTCCAGTTGAAAGAAGAAGAGCTCTTTGTTTTACACCATTGTTTACTACAGCAGCACACTTCCAAATTGATGCTATTTTTGCTGCTGGAGCAACTGTTGTTGTTTGTGATAAATTTGAACCAGAAAGTATTCTTAAATTTATTCAAGAAGAAAAAATTACTAACGTTAATTGTGCTCCATCAGGTATTTTAGCACTTATTCATCATCCTAGTTTTAGTACAGAAAAAGTAAAAACTGTAGAACATGTTATTATGGGAGGTGCAGTTGTTAGTGATGCTTTAATGAATGAAGCACAAAATAAAATGGGTCTTCTTGACTGTAAATCTGGTTATGGTATGACCGAAACATGTGGTGTAATGTATACAATGACTACTACAGTTGGACAACTTCAACCACATTATGAATTAAGAATTGTTGACCATGTAACTCGTAAGATTACACCAGTTGGAGTTCCAGGAGAGATTGAAGTGCATACTAAAATTATGATGTCTGGTTATTTAAATAATGAAAAAGCAAATAAAGAATCTTACACTGAAGATGGATGGTTTAAGACTGGTGATGAAGGTAATTTAGATAAATATGGAAGACTAATTATTACTGGAAGAGTGAAAGACATGATTATTCGAGGTGGTCATAATGTGTTCCCATCAGAAATTGTTGATACTCTTCAAACACATCCTAATGTTGTTTTATGTGGATGTGTATCTGTTCCAGATAGAGCACAAGGAGAACTTATTGTTGCATTTGTTACATTAAAGAAAGAAACAAAAGAAAGTGAGTTAAAAGAATTTTGTAGACAAAGATTAGTATCATTTGCAGTACCAACACATATCTTTGTAATAGAAAAGATGCCATTAAACAGTTTTGGTAAAGTATATAATCCTGAACTTAGAAAGATCGCTGCAGAAAAAATTAAAATATATTGGCAAAATAAATGTGAAAATAATCCATGTCCTCCATCAACTGAAGCTGGTAATGCTCTTGCTTCTTTATGGTCAGAATGGTTTGAAATTCCACAAAAAGCTATTTCAAAAGATATGAATTTCTTTGATATTGGAGGAGATTCATTAGTTGGTAGTCAGACTGTAGGATTAATAAGAAAATTTGTTTCAGATGCACCATTTGATTTATTAACTAAATGTCCAACAATAGGCCTTTTAGAAGAGTATGTATTAAATCCAAAACTTGACCTTATCCATCCACAATTTAAGAAAGATATTGAAGATATTCAAAACCTTAAAATGGAACCAATTCAAATTGAATCAAACCAAAAGAAAGTTGCTTTCTTAACTGGTTCTAATGGATTTCTTGGAGTTCATTTAATTCAAGCACTTCAAAAGAAAGGATATCATGTTCTTTGTTTAGTTAGATCATTAACAATTAGTGATGGATGGAAACGAATAACACAATCAGCAACTAACTCTCAAATAACACTTGACCTTAATAAAATCGAAATTATTTGTGGAGATGTTTCATTAGTAAAATGTGGATTAAAAGATGATGTTTTTAATTCTATTGTTTCTAAAATTGGATTAATTATTCACAACGCTGCATTTGTTAATTGGAATAGAAGTTATGTTGATATGAGAGGTTCTAATTATATTGGAACTCAAAATGTAATCGAATTCGCTACAAAAGCTAAAGTTCCATTTATTTATGTATCATCTATTGGAGTAGCTGCATGTGTTGGAGGTAAAGAAATAATACCAGATGGTACTGTTTTACCATTTAAGGCAAATGGATATATTCAAACCAAATGGATGAACGAACTTTATTTAAATAAATTAAGAGGCTTTGGATATAAGATTGGTATTTTAAGACCAGCTTTTATTTCTGGTAATTCTGTATCTGGTTGTTCTAACACTGACGACTTTATTTGGAAGTTAGTACGTTTACTTGTAAATAATGGACTTTCTCCAAATGAACAAAAAATGATTCTTACCCCAGTTGATTTAGTTGCTAATGCATTCACTGAAGCTGTTAATAATCTTCCTATCGCAGCTAATTTAATACCATTACATCCAGCTGATATTAGTTATGTTTGTGATCTTGTTGCTAAACGAATGAATAAAACTATTGAACACAAACCAATGAATGAAATTAAAGAACAACTTATTTCATTAGCACAGAGTGGAAATAAAGAAGTATTAACATTACTTCCATCTATGCAAATGAGTGGTTCATTAGATATTGAATATAAATGGGTTAAAGAGCATTCTCTTGACCTTTCAGAAACACAACAATCTTTAGATAACTCTGTTACCTATCTATTTAATACTGGTTTCTTTGGAGAAGAATTTAGTGATGGAAAAACACAAGCCTTTGGACGTTCTCATTGATTTTTTTTCTTATCATTTTTGGTTAATTTATTTTTTAAAAATAAAAATATTATTACATATAATTAAGTTTTTTAGTATTTTCAATTACCTCCAGAACTTAAAAGAACTAATAAAATTACCTTTATTGACCTCTAAAGACTTTTCAATTATTTAAAGAGATCTAAAAAGAAAATATTTTAAAAGAAAAGTATGTCTTTAAACGATACTGAAAAAACTAAATTACAAGACCTTTGTAATAAAAAATATAAAGAACAAGCTATTTGGTTTTTGAATGCTTATTGGTTAGAAAATGGAGAAGCTGAAGCTGAAAATGTTTGGGATTATTGTAATAAGTTTGGTGAATTTGATCCAGAAAATCATGCAGATGGGTGCTCTCTTGATGAATTAAATATTCACAGAATTCTTGAACATTATAATGAACACCAAACAATTCAACAATTTAGAGAATCATTAAGAAACCAACAATTTGAATTTAAAAAATTGTTTGCTCTTTGTGTATTCTTAGCATGGCACTACAAAATGCCATTAAAGAAATTAATTAATGCTCCTCAAGGTGCTCAATCAGCAGAAATGCAAAAAGCACAAGAAATGGTTGACCAAGTTTCTGTTTTACTTAACGAAGCAGTGAAAAAAGCAGATGAAGCTACTAAAAGAGATAAAGAGCTTGAAACTGCTCTTAATGCATTGAAAAAAGAAGAAGATGAATTTAATAAGAAAACAGAACAATTAAAAGCACAAATTGAAAAAGAGACTGGTGTTGTTAAAAAGAATAGAGCACAAGCTGAACTTGCTCAACATATTGAGTCTGATCCATTACCATTAAGAAAAGCTAAAATTACTTGTGAAGCTGCTAAGAAAAAATCAGAAAAAGCTCGTATTGAAGCTGAAACTGCTGCTGAAGAAATGAAAAAGAAAATGGAAGAAGCTGAGGAATATTTAAATCAACAAAAGGTAGCAGCAGCCGCTGGACAAGGATTAATGTGGTGGATGCAAAGAGAACTTGAAGAAAAGAAAAAGTTTATGCCAAAGAAAAAAGGAGGAATTGCTAAGTAATTTTGAAAATTCAATTATTAATGTCTGTGTTTATTTTAAATTATAAAAAAATGAATAAATATTATTTAACTTTTTGATATAAATGTGTTATAGACTATTCGATGAATAGTATTCTGTAGTTAAGTCTATTGAAGATATTTTTTTATAGTCTTGACTCTCTGAATCACTAGAGCTAATAAATTCAATATGTAAAGCAGGAGACTCTTTATATGGGTTGTCATTTATAGAGTTAAAAATTCCATATGTTTGTTCAATCTGTTCAATTTTTTTCATGTTCTTAATGGCATGTTTTAATTCATCTATAACACTATTGTCATTATGTTCTTCTTTAAAACTCATATTCTGAATATCATTTAGTTAATGTTAAACAAGTTCTTTTGTTTCTTATTCATCTTTGTTTCTTTTTTTTTTGCTTCTTTTTTATTAATCAAATTCAATTACAATAGTTTAAATTTATTGTATTCATTAATACGTTTGTACATTAATTTGATTATACCGATTTATTATACAGAACTATTTTTATCTTCATGTGTTACTCATAGTTAAATAATATTTATACATGTGTTATTGTTATCTGTTTGATTTATACTTTAGAATATGAATGTGTTATTGTTTTTTGTTAATACAAAGAAGATAATAATTTTCTTTATTATAGACTATTTACATTTTACAGTATAAAACCACAAATAACTGAACTATTTTTATACAAGAGTTTCAAGTGTATTTAAGTAAATATGATATCATTAATATTTATTGTAAATACGAAGATATTTTTATAGCAATATGTTTTTCATATATTAACTCAAAATAACAGGAAATATTACATATGACTTGTACTTAAAGAAGATAGTATGAGTCAACAGTGATACAATAGAATATAATAAAAATCAATAACAGTTGGAGATGATAAAAAGGCATAAAGTTTGAGTTATAATGTAATAAAAATCTTATTTAAATAAAAATAAATTAAAGGTATTACATTAAAAAGAAGTATTGAGGTTTAGTATGTTAAAGAGAACAAAATAACAAGATTTAGTTGAGAAGTAATAAAACAATTATTTCTCTTGTTGTTTTTGAGATCCAGAATCAAGTAATTGTAATACAGCAGAGAGATCAATATCATCTTCTTCAAATGGAGTTTGTATTTGAGGTCTTTCATTTTGTTCAATAACTTTTTTTGATAATTCAAAACTACGAACTAACTTCCGAGGTTTAGGTAATTCAGAAGGACTTTTTTCATTAGGATCTGATGGGATTTCTATTGGCTTTGAAATAGAACTAGATGTAGAAGAAGAAAGTAATTGAGAGAAGTGTTTTGGAGAAGATTTAAAAATGGGGTTAAATTGGATTTTCTTATCTTTATGATGATGTTTGGAGTTTTTAGTATGTTTTAATTTTTTTTGTAAGAAAGGTTTAGTACTTTCTTTTGATTTTGATGAATCAGATGAAGGAGGATTTGATTGAAATTGATCTGTTTCTGCAATTGAAAGGAGTTTTTCAGATTGTTGATGCTTAGAATCAGATTGGATAGGATTAGTTAAAGTAAAAGAATCAACGTTCTTTATTTTTTGAACTTCGTAATATTCTTTTAATTTCTTAAGTTGGTTGTAATCAATCTGAGTGATGAAAATATCATTTAAAAGGTGTTGAATGATTTGAGTTGATTGAATTGACTATTTAAAATTAGGAATAATATATTTTTGAGAAAATGTTGATGGATAAACAACAAACTAACTTTGGTATATTACTATTTATTGAATTTAATAAGTCATTTGAGTTAATTTGTTCAAGCCAAGTTTCAGAAGGGTATTTTCTTTGTAGTTCAAATAATAATAAATCAGGATATTGCTAAATTAAAGGTAAAATATCTTGTATATATAAAACACTTTCATTTTAACAATAACATTAAAATATTAACAAACAATCTGTGGGATAGTTAATGAATGAATTTTCATTGAGAATTGAAAACAAATATCTTCTAATTTGAATATGTCATTATCATTTAATTCAGCTGTTCCATTATATTCTTTTCCATTAACTATAATTAATCCATTACCACTTAATTTGTTAGATTCATTTAATTTTATTATAATACATAAAAAAAGAATAATTAAAAAAAATACAAACGAAATAATAGCGTTTTGGCTAAAGGCAATAAGTTCCCATTTTGATTTTATATTTACAATAACGTTTGATGACTTTTCTTTACTAATAGTATATTCCTTTCCTAATTTTAACCATAAACGATCATCTCCATCAACATATGGATATTTTTGGATAACAGCAATATACCCCCCTTCTAGTTGAGTAAACATAAAATAAAAAAACAAGTTATTCTTCTTCAAATTGAGAAAAAAACTCAAAGAATAACAAAATTATTTTAATATTCTTTAGGTGAATCTAAAAGAACTTAAAAAAGTAATTTCAAATAATATATAACTATGGAATTGAGTAAGCGTCAAAGGATATTAGATGAAATTTATAATACTGAAGTCTCATATTTAAATTTTTTAAAAATTTGCCAAACAGTTTATTTTGAGGATATGGTTAGTCATGTGCCTCTTATTATACCATTAGAAAAGACTAATGAAATGTTTAAATATTTAGATACTATTATTACTATTTCACAAGAGTTAATAAGATTATTTGATGAATCAAAAAAATCCAATTGCTTTGAGTCAGAAATAGGAAACATTTTTATTCAAATGCAGTCATATTTAAAAGGATATAATTTATATGTTGCTAATAATGCCTATGCATTAAATATTGCTGACAGACTATATAAGAAAGAGAAATATGCAAAGTATCTTGAAACATTAAGACAATCAATTCAAGGTCCTGATACAATGAAATTAGATTTAAATTCTTTTCTTATTATGCCAGTTCAAAGAGTCCCTCGATATCGTTTACTTCTTCAAGACTTATTAAAAAATACACCTGATGGGACATTAGGAAAATCTGCATTAGCTACAGCGTTAGAACAAATTAAGGTACTTGGAATTTCAATTAACGAATCTATTGCTGATGAAGAAAGAAGAAGAAAATTACTTGAAATACAAAGTCGTCTTCCAAAGAGTCTTCAGCCAAAATTTGTTTGTCCTGGAAGAGAATTTGTAATGGAAACTAATGTTGTTCTTACTTGGGAAGAGAAATTAACTAAACTAACATTAATCTTTGTTACTGATATGTTAATATTTGCTGAAACAGTCAATATAAGAATTGACGTTAAACATGTAATGATTATAGGACGTATTAAACGTCAGACTGGTGAAAGAACAGAATTTGAATTATCTACAAAAGAAGATGGAAACATTAAATTAGTTTTTCTTAACGAGAAAGATGGACAATTGTTCCATGATAAAATTACTGAATTAATCCCAGTTCAAGTAAAGAAATTAGCAGAAAAGAAGTCAGCAGAAGATGAATGTCCTTGTTGCAGGAAATCTTTGAATAGACTTGCTTCATATTCATCTCCTGGATTTATTGTCTGTGCTAAATGTAACAAAAAAGTTTGTAATACTTGTGCAACAACAAAGATTGCTTTAGTTGCAGGTGGTGCACCAAGAAAAGTGTGTGACGCTTGTATTCTTGAACAATTTACAAAACAACAAGAAACAAATAAAAAACTGAAACAAAAGAAAGAACCATTATTACTTAATTCTCAAAAAAAAGATATAAATGAGTTTCAACAAAATTTAATAACATCGTCTTGTACTTCAAGTCAAGTATTTACATCTCCAATGTTATGTTCAACAGGACATAATATTTATTCAACTCCAATGATGACTTCTACCCCTTATTACATTCCATTGACATATAGTACAAGACAAATACCACAAACATTTACTACATCACAACTTATACCACAAACAGTTAACTGTTCAAATCAAACACAACGTTCACAAATAGAAATACTAAAAAATTTAAATGTTCCACAACGTAGACCACAAACCAAATTAAATAAAAAAAACTTAAATTAAATATTACTTTGTTATTAATGTTTAATTGTTATTCCATAAGCACAAGGAAATTTGATGGTACTAATCCATATAACCCATTTACTTCACCTTCCCACCAATCTCCATCTTTTCGATATACAAGAACAATATCATCTTTTTTTAAAGATATTTCATCTTCTTCAGTAGTTTCATAGTCATATAAAACTTTATATTTTTGAGGTTGTGACTGAGGCTCTTTAATTAATTTATCATTATTATTTGGTAATAACTCCATTACACCTAATTAATTATAATCATTAATAAAGGAAAATAATAAAAAATACAAACTTAATGGTGTAAGTGATGGTTGTTGAGGATCTGTTGGTTGAGTAATTTCTTCAGGAGGCATCATTGGAATATCAGTGATATAGTCAGGGTCTATAGGAGCATTTTCAACAATCATATTACTTGCTTTCATATTATAACCACCATTTGTAATATCTTCTTTTCTTTGAGTATAAATATTTTGGGGATGAATAAAACTATCATTATCTTGAGTAATAAGCCATTTAACATCAACAATTTGTTCTTTAAAAGAAGGAAGAAGTTTTTCAATACTTTCAAGAGATTCATTATAAATGTCTCTAATTAAAATATCATTTTGAAATAATTTAACAAAGAAAGGTTCAACTATTTTAATATAATTATCATTTAATTTTTTCATATCATCAATAATTTCATTTCTTAAATAGAAATAAAAGTCTCTTGCTTGTTCATATTTTGTTTTAGTATTTGTAATGATATGTTGTGGTTTATTTTTTAAAACATTTGTTCCATAACGATTATGAGCATGGTCCATATCAATTTGTCTTTTTTTTAGTTCAACAATTCTTTCTTCAATAACTTTATATTGTTGACTATATTCTTTTAATGGTAAAAATATATCATCTTCCATTGATGTGAAGCATGTTGTTAATCCTAATTCTAAACATTCACATGTTGTCATATACTTTGTTGCAATACTATTTAATTGAATATCTTCTTTTGACATTTCTATTAAAGCTTTTGATAATTCAACTTTTTTATGTAACATTTTTTTTTGACTTTCATTATAATGACGAAGTATAAGAAGAGTTTGAATTAAAAGTTTATAATGTAATTTTGTCTTTTTATGAACTTCTTTAAAGTCTGTATCAATTGACTTTTCAGCAAATTTATATGAACTTCTAATTTCATAAACTTTTCTTTCAACTTGTTCTACTAATGACATATTCAACTTATGATTTCAAGTTTCTTTAATCATTTTTGAGTTCTTTTTTTCTTTTATTTAAAAAAAAAAGACGATAGAAATTTATAAAATTTCTTCAAAGAAATAATTTGTTTCTTTGAAACAAAATCCAATTGAAATTCATTATTAATCAACTTATATTTTCTTCGTAACTTTATTAGAATTTACCTTTAACTATTTAAAAAAGTATTTATTTTTTCTATTTTTGATTGTATTTAAATTAATGAAATCCCATTTCAATTGCTGCATTTTGTATTAAATCTCTTTCTTTTGTTGGGTCTTCAGTAAATAAGAAAGAACGAAATTCTTTAATAGTCTTTGGTTTGTATTGAAGAAATATTCTAACAAAATATAATAAATATTCACCACATTCCCAATTAGATGGTTGTTGTGGTACATTAACATGAATACAATTAACTTCAAGATCATCCCAATAAATATTAATTCTTTGATACATCCAAGCAATAAATTCATTAATAGTATAAGATAAAAATTTTGGTGTATTACTTATATTTAATGAGTCTAAGTTTAAAACACATGGAGCTATTTCATTTAATGGAATATCTTCATTAATCCTTTTATTTTCTTCTTCAAATTCAGTAATTTCAAAATGATTAATTAATTCTTTCATTTTATTTATTAATAAAATACATTCATTGTATTTATGTTCACTTATTATATTATTTTCATCAACTGATGATAAATTCATTTGAACTTCTTGTGCAAGCATTTTTATTTGTTCATTTAATAAATTTAATCGTTGATCAAATTCATATTCTTCACAAAATTTTCTTTTACCTCCTTTTAACATTCTATCACTTTGAAGACAATAAATTAATAATGTCCAATGTCTTTCTACGTTAATTGGAATTATAATATATTCAAGGTCTTTTAATTCTAAATCTTTTTTACTAAACCATCTAGAACAGTGATAAAATTGACCTTCTTTATCAACATTTGGATCATTTGCTCTTCTCATATTTTCAAAGAAAAATGTTGATAAAACACATACTGATTTATCTCCATATTTCTTTTCAAGGTATTCTAAATAAAAATTAAGAACATTGTCATTAAACATTAATCTTTTTTTTAATATATTTTGTTCATGTTCTGTAAATTCAGTTGATACACTAATATTCATTTAATAAAAAGAATATTCTTAGTTATTTTTATTTTCTTTTTCTTTTTTTTCTTTAAAACATGAAATAACAAAAAAATATATATTAATGCTATTAACTTTTTTATAAATCCTATTTACATTTTTAAATTTTAATTTAATTGTTCTTGCTCTCCTTTTATTGTTCCACTCTCTCCAATTATAAAATCAATATCGTCATAATCAAAAAGTTCATCTAAAGTTTTTATAAGACTATCTCTTGGTACTACCCTTTGAACTTTAATTACTGGAGTTAGTTGTGTATAATTAATAGTAGTATACAATTTTTTGGAGGACATCTAACAATAACAGTTAAATATCTTTTATTTATTTTCAGTTTAAGTAACAATGTTAGACAATATTTTTTATATTTCCTTATAACTGTTGTTTGGTAATAAAAATTCTTCAATACTCAGCATGTTATGTAACTTTATTTGTTCTTATTTTGGACTTTTCTTTCTTATAAAATTTTATTAAATTCAAATTGAATATTTTTTTTCTTTTGTAAAAAAATAATTTTGAACTTTCTCTTTGAAAAATCATCAGATGAATATGTTTTTTCTATCAAATAAAAGTATTGAAAATAAATTTTTCAATGTTTAGTAGCTTAATCTATTTTTCATTATTTTTTAAACTAAAAAATTATTTGCTATTTATGTTCTTCATGTGTAAATAAACAAAATATTAAATAATAAAATGTTAGTTTTTATTTTTTTGAATTTACTTCTTATACAAAATTGAACCTTTCAAGTTGTTCTCTTTAGAAGCTGTTTCTTTTATTCAACATTATTTATAATTCAATATTTTCTATTTCTTTCTATTTATAGTTATACTAATTTAATAATTTCCTAAATTGTTAATTCTTTCTATTTTTGCATAATTAGTTAATTCTATTGACTCTTATTATTATTAAAAATAGCTATGAATTTATCAACACTATTATTAATTAAATTATTTCTTTTTATCTTTAATACTTATTTTTATTTTAGTATATATTCTTTTCTTCTTTTTTACATCTATTTCTCAAGAAACTATTGAATATTTTTATTTCTTGTTTTAATATTTCATTTAACTTAATACTCTTTACCTGTATAAATATATATTCATTAT